GGGATTCATGCCTGTGGTAGCATGCATCAATAGTTTATTTTCTTTTAAACTATTTATTCAGATTCCAGTGAAAGTTTATAAAGCAGACTGGTAATCCATTTAACCCTTCATATGTATTTTATTTTATAATGTTGATTACAACTCTCACAATGTACAATCACTTTTCCCATTCCCTCTCTCTGGGGTTCTTCTTTCCATTCTGTCCTCTATCCTCTCCCTGCCTGTCTTTTATCCTTGGGAAAATGTTGTTCCCGTGATCCCATGTGGATGAGTGTTCCAAGAGCTGCGTACTTCCCTGGGATTATTGATCACCTTATAGATCTGTTTAGTGTTTGGCTGCACGTTGTGCCATAGGGGATGATGAGCATAATTACTAAAGAAATGTAAAACACAGATAGGTCAATAGAAGTTCAGGCAACACGATACTATTATATACACAAGCCAGGAATATCAGCAATAATAAATGTTAATCTGCAAGTAGATAAATAGACAAGACCAATGAATAAGGGCAGGTGCAGATGTTAAATCTAGATTCAAATGACTATCTGTAGCAAACATATCCACATATATAGCAGAGTCAACAGGGGCAAAATCATGTGGCCTCCTTCATCATAATCCAACACTATGAAGAGAATGAGATCTTAGTCCTAGATCCTTAAGATCATAGTCCTGGAGTACATCAAGGTCAATTGGCATAACATAGTCCACAAAGGAAAATGTTCTACATCTTACTTTGGTGAGTACAGACTGAGGCCTTAAAAAGCAGAGTTCATTTAAGGTCCAACTATTGGTCTCTCCCTTTCTGGAACAAAGAAGAAGGAACAAAAATAAAAATCCACTCAATTAGTTCAAAGATCTAGTGGACCACTCAAATCTCAACATCCACAATCCTGACATCAGAAGAACCCAATTACCACTGCTGGCCACGTTAAAAAGGAACACATTATAAGGTGCTAGCTAGAATTGGTGAAAAATACAGAATAAAATTTAAAAAAATAAAAATGGCCAGGCTTACTGGTTTGACAGAGACTGGTGCAACCTCCAAGACTACAATAGCACCCCCCGACCCTTCAAAACTGGAACAAAACACTCTACTGTAATTCAACTTGCAATTAAACAAGATGACCAATCAAATCAGGGGGTACAGTTCTCCTTAGGAAAATCAACCACGTAAGATCACAAGGGCAGCTTTTGTCAAAGGACAAAATTCAGAATGCAACAAGAAGTAGGACAGGATTAATGGAAATGAGAAAAGGGAGGAAATAATTATAATAGTTTTAAATAATTATAACCTAAAATAGTTAAAATAATTGTAAGTAATTCTAACATCTGCCAATTCTAGTTGGTTTTGGATTATTTATCTCCACAGTATGTCAAATTTTCCTGGTTTTAGGTTTGTTTTTTTCCAGTGAGTCAACGATTTATCTTTTGGCTATTATGGGGGAAGATTTTTAAATGTATATATGGCCATGTAAATATTAAAAATTATCACTTATTTTGAAAACTGTAGATTATGGGATTACTGGGTGGAGGAGAATGAGCAAGAAACTGTCTGGCAGCTAGGAAGTGAAATGACCAGGAAAGGGAAACTGAGATTTCCCTTGACTGGTTTGATGAGAGCACAGAAGTTAATCTTTTTCTCAGTTACATGCAGCTAACTTCTTCTATTCCAGAGTTTATCTTTTCAGCTTCACTTATGGCATTTTCAGTTATCAAGGGACCCTGCTAATCAGAAAGTTAGCTATTCAAATCGGCCAGTTATTCAACAGGAATGATATAAGGCAATTTGTTTCTGAACAGATTTACAGTTTTGGAAACCCTACAGGCAGTTCTGCTTTGCCCTATCAAATTGTCTCAAGTGACTCAATAACAATGTATTTGGCTATATTTTAGTTGTTTACCAGGGACCTGGTGGAAGAGTGCTTAAATGCTTGGCTACCAGAAGATCAGTAGTTTGAATTCTTCAACCACTTCAAAGGTGAAAGATGTGGCAGTCTACTTTTGTAAACATTAGCAGGCTTGGAAACATCATGATGTCCCATAAGAACAGAGTATAAGGTCAGCATGAGTTGAAGTTAATGTTGTTGGGGTTTTTTTCTTATTGTTGCTTTTTTGTTTCAGTTTTTTATGGTTTATTAATTTACTCAAATAAATATGTCTTTTCTAAATCATTTCTATTCCACACAAATTTTGGAAGCAGCCAGTTAAGTTCAGTGAAAAATACTAGGATTTAGATTAAAAAAAAAAAAGAGTAAATGAGAAAAAAACCTTACACCTGTATAATTTTTTTTTCTATAGTATAAGGCTAAGTATATTTTCTATTAATCTTTGCATTAATATGGGTAATTTATAATATAAACTATACATTGTCAAGTTATTTGTGTTATATAGTTGAAAATTTCTCTTAATATTCTCTGAAGACTATTTAAACCTGTCAATATCCATGGTCATATCTTTAACTCTTCATTTTGCTTATTTGTAGCTTCTCTACTTTTTAATTTATTTATCACTACTATTGTTAAGTACTATTGAAACAATTCTCACTCATGGTGATCTTATGTACAAAGAAACAGTGTCATCTTAAGGACTTAGGAACTAATCCATGCTAATTTCAGTCTCCCTATATAGTTATGTGAATCTGAACAATGAATAAAGAAGAGTCAAGGAAAATTGATGCCGTCGAAATACAGTTTTGGTGAAGAATATCGAACATATAATGAACTACCAGAAGAGAAAATCTGTCTTGGAAGAAATATAACCAGAATGTTCTTTAGAAGAGAAGACATGAAGGCTTCATCTTATGAACTTTGGACATATTTATTGTCAGCATCAAAGAGGGGGAAAAATAATTTCTGGAGAAAGCTATAATGCTTCGTAAAGTAGAAAAGAAAAAAGAAGATCCTCAGTGAGAAAGACAGTGGATGCAACAATGCAAACACAGCAATAACTGTGAGGGGAGCACAGGCCCAGCGATGGTACATATTGCTGTGTACAGAGTCAAATATGAGAAATGCTTTAGTACACTCCCAGAACCTAGAATATGTCACAGACCAGTCATTAGCTTAAAAACTTGATTAATAAATGGGATTTCTAGCCTAAGAACACCTTCGATCATATTCTACATAATAATAATCTTCTTGACCATCTGAATATATATTTTCTTAATTGTTTGTCATATATTCTAACTCGTATTGAACCTTTTGTACACAGATGAACTGTACCCATAAGGTTCCCAAGGTCGTAATCTTTACAGAGGCAGATTGTCACATCTTTCATCCAGAGCACTGGTCTTCAGTTAGCAGCCAAATGTTTAAGCACTGCACCACCAGTGCTCCGTTTTTTTTTAGTTGTTGTTGTGTACCATTGAGCCAACACCAATGAATAGCTGACCTTCCACAGGCTTTCAAAGGCAGTAAACCACATGTGAGGAGAATGCCCATCTTTCTCTTACAGAGCAGCTGGTGTATCTGAACCATGTGTCCTTGGGTTGGCAATGCAGCTCCTTACCAGTAGGCAACCAGAGCTCCCTTTTTTCTTATTTAGTAGTCTTCAAGTCAAATATTAATTCAATAAATAATAACTTTAAAATGATAAAGAATTAATTCAATAATAATTTCCATTGACTCCAAGCATTTGTTGTTGTTGTTATGTACCATTGAGTCACCTGCAATGCATAGCGACCCTATGTACAACAGCCTTAAACTCTGCCCTATCCCAATCTCACCATCTCCGACACACCTGTCCCATTTCACCCCAGTCACTGAATCAATCCATCTCATCGAGGGACTTCCTCTCCTGTACTCTTCCAAACATGATGTCCCTCTCCAAGGATGAGTCCCTCCTTGCAACATGCCCAAAGTATGTCAAATCAAACTTCAGAATCCTTGCCTCCAAGGAACAGCTTGCCTTCACTCTCTCCAGGACAAACCTGTTTGTTTTCCTAGCAGTCCATAGTATATTCAATACTCTTCTCCAACACCACAACTCAAAGGCATCAATTCTCCTTCTATCCTTCCTAGTCATCATCCAGCTCTCCGATGCATAGCAAGTGACTGCAAAGACCATGGCCAGTATCAGATGCACCTTAGTCTCCAGACTGACATCTTTGCACTTTGGAACTTTAGAGAGGTCTCCAAGCATTTAGATAAATAAAAATCAAGAAGAGCTAATAATTTACAATTTCACAAAGTAGGATAGCCAAATCAAATGAAAAAAATGAAAGGGAAAGGAGGACAAACCTCATGCACTTCATTTTTCTTGAGCCAAAAATGCATTTGTAGTAGATGTCAGTCCCAATGTGGTAACAGAGATATATGTTCATGACAACAGGGATAACTCATGGATACAGAGGAGAGCCAATGCATATTAACAGCAATGGATGAATGATGTTAAGTAATGAGCATCATAGTGGCCCAGTGGCAAAAGCTGCACTGTAATCCCAGAGGTGTGCAGTTCAAATCCACCAGATGATCTGCTGGAGAAGGAGGGACAATCTCCTCCAGTACCACACACAAATAATAAAAAAGAAAAGAAAAAAAGAAATGAGCATCATATAAAATTTATGATGAGTGCATTTTCAAAAAGAAATCTGAAACTCCACCTAACTGCTACAAGGTCTTTATTTAATTCCCTAGATTGAAACCCTACCCCCCAAAAAACCCACCTAACAAAACACCACACAAAGGAGTGAGGATGGGGGTAGGGGTAGGGTGTTAATCATAAAGCTGCATAATTAGATGGGTGGGAGGGTGAAGGAAATGCAAGGATCTTTTGTGAAAAGCAATGTATTCAACTTTGTAAATAAATCAGAGTAAAATAAAAAACAAAATAAACCACCACACACAGAACCCACCCAAACCCAAAACCAAATCAGACTTAAATGTGTTGATTTTAATTTTATGCTTCCAAGAATGTCTTGACATATTTCATTGATAGACTTTCAATATTCTGCAAGGCTCTTCCATGGCATTTATAAAAGATGCCTCAGAGGTATTCCTTACCGAGTCAACCAATGATCTTGCTTCCTCTTCAGTGCAATGGAAAGGACTATCACATACCTGCACATTTGTGCTGCAAAGGAAAAACATAATATTATTAAACAAGAGAAAAGTAACTACCAAAAAAAATCAACTCCAAATACTCTGCAATGTCAGTCAATGAAGAAGAAACAGAGAGCATATAGCAGCACATTCTCGCAGGGAAGGCGTACAACGTGCTCCATGGTACTGCATCCCTCCAAAATTAAATAAGTATTTTCATAATGTTACACAACTCTTAATAATGACCAGGAATCTCTGGTAGCATAGTCTGTAATGAGTTATACTTCTAACACAAAGGCTGTGCTTCTCCAGCAGTTCAAATCCAACAGCAGCTCAAGGGGAGAAAGATGGACAGTGTGTTGTCACTCTCATTTTTAACTGGAGAAACCCAATGGAGGCTGCTGAGTTCCAACTTAACAAGGGTGAGTGGGAGCTTCAGTACTGGCCTCCAAAATCAAATCCACTGCTGCCAAGTTGACTCCAATACCTTGTGACCTGAGAGGACAGAGTGGAAGAGCCCACAGGGTTTCGAAGGCTGTGAATTTTTACAGAAGAAGGCTACCATGCTAATAATCATCAGTATATACATAAAAAGCTATATCACAATTACTATTGGCTTAGTGCGTAAGGAGTTGTGTTACCAACCCAAAGGCAGGTGTTTCAAATCCACCAGTAGCTCTGAGGGAGAAAGATGAGCAATCTCTCCAAACCATTTATAGCCTCTGAAAACCTGGAGGGTTTTGGTGATTTGGTTCTGACTGGACATCAGTGAATCAGTAAACAGTTTATTGGAAAAAAAAAGAACCATATTTAACCAATAGAACGATGACTATGAGGAGGAATTTTCAAGAAGAAGTGATAAACATTATACCTGGCCACCAAGAAATACTATGGAATCTCTTCCTCGGACAACTATTGGAAACTAACATTAAGGTGGTGAGAGGAAACTATGAAAAAGAAAAGTATATGTATTTGTTTTCTTGAAATGAACAGAATCCAGGAGGAAGAGTATTATTTCCTTCCCCAATTAGTAATGGCTTCGTAAAGTCAAATGTCTTTCAACTGTCTCCACAAGCATACCTAGATTAAAGCAACAGTCTCACTTCTCACAATCACATAAGATTAAGTCCCACCCATTTTACCAAAGGAACTAGCAAAAAAAAAAAAAAGATACAGAAAGAGATAATAGTTGAGTTAAAGCAAAATTATTATTTTAAAAATAAGTAGAAAATCTCTAAATAGTTGTAAATATCACACACACACTTTCCATCCAAGTGAATCTAAGGAATAAATATTTTCATAATGGATTTGTAAATATGTTGTAGTATCTATGATGACGAAATCTCTGTAGTTATTTTCATTTTAGTTGTCTGTAATGAGATATTGTACACATAGTAATAACCACAAAACTCACTGGAACCAACTCATTGCTGACCTTCCAGTGGGTTATAAATTACAAAGGAAGAGACTGCCATCTTCTTCTCACAGAGATGCTCTATTTGGTTTAATAGCTCAATTCCTTACATAGTAGGCAACCACAGCTCCCTACAGAAATTAGAGTTAGCTATTATTTGGTTCCCAGGTAGAATAAAATGTGTTATTTATTTTCATTTTTAGCACAAATAAAAATCTGATGAAAGTTGGCATTATCCTCTTTAAGACTATAACTTTTGGTATTCTTTTCTACAACTGAAGCTTACTTAGCTGAAAATGGAAAAATGTAGGACATTATGAGTCAGTTTTTTCCGTAATAAAAGTTAAAATATATTTTTAAAGAAATAGGCAAATAATTAGTCTTTGCAGAGTCTCAAATGCCAGTTCTCTGGAGAAAGTATAAAACATGCATGTAGTGATTTTAACTTTATAACTTAAAAAGTATAACATTGCTTGGAAATTCTGGGAAAATGATGATGAATTGGCAGAAAGGGCTTCTCTAAATAGTGTTGCCAGATAAAATACAGAATACTTAGACGAATTTGAATTTCAGATAAACACAAATGACTTTTTAAGGGACCAAATATTTCATAGAATATACATATATTTTAAAAATGCTCCTATGAAATTCAAATTTAGCTGGATATCCTATATTTTCATCTGCTAAATCGAAAAACCTTATTGCAAAAGTAATCCTCTAAACTCAGAAACACGGTAAAAAAAAAAGTTGTAAAGTAAGACAATGTTAAAGCAAGCACTTTACATTTTAAAAAACACTGAAAATGTTAAACAATTTTTTTTTCTAACATCTTCAACAACATATCGTTACAAATAGTCAGTGGAAACTTAGAAAAGCCAACTGGCTTTACTTTTACCTTGGATAAATTCTCAGTAGAATAATTCCCTCAATCTTGATGACACGTTCTGCTTCTTAGAGTCCAGCTTCTTGAATAATTTGCTCAGCATAGAGATTGAATAGGTAATGAGAAAGGATACAACTCTGATGCACACCTTTCTTAATTGTAAATAATCTAGTGCTTCATTGCTCTGCTCACACAATAGCCTCTTAATTTAGGTATAGGTTTCACATGAGCACAATTAAGTGTTCTGGGGCTTTCATTCTTTTTAATGTTAGCCATAATTTGTTATGATCTGCACAGCCAAATGACTTTGCATTTGACAGCACATAACAACAACAGGTTCATCCTGGAGAGGATGAAACCAGGCTGCCATGTAGAGGCAAGTATTCTGAAGCTCTGTCTGACATACTCTGGACATGTGGCAAGGAGGGACCAGTCCTTGGAGAAGGACATCATGCTTGGGAGGGTGGAGGGGCGGCACAGGAGAGTAAGACAGGCAGACTTAATGGGAGTAGGTGTGTGTGAGACAATAAACTTGGCTCAGGACAGAGCAGGGTTCAGAGCTGTCTACTTAGGGTTGCTATGAGTCGCAAGCAACTTGATAGCATATAACAACAAAATATCAGTAGTATTAAGCTCTCATGGCCTAATAGTAAGAAGTTGTGCTGTTAAGCCAAAGGCACACAGTTTGAATCACACGCTGCTCTGCAGAAGAAGATGGGCAATCACCGCCTGTGCATTTTAGGGTCTCTGAAAACCTTCTGGAGGATCAGGCACATAACAACCACTACATATCAATAATGAAATGGAATGTTATATACAAATGAATTGAGAAGACACATGATTTGCCAATATAAGTGGAGGAAGACTGCAAATGCCCTTGATGATTTCTCCAATACACTCTTTTTTTAAAAAAAATATATTCTTTGTTATTTGAACAGTATTTATAAATAAAGGATATATACACACTGATAAATACAACAGAGATAAAACTGGTGAAGTTTCAATATGGGAAAGGGATTGTATATAGAACTCTTAATTTCATGGTTTTGCTATCTTACAATAATTATCCAGTACAGTATGTTTGAGCAAGTGTCTATAAGAGTACAACTACAAATATCTCCCTGTCTAGAGCAAAGGAGAGAGGAGAGACTGGGTCTTTCCATTCTCTTTTCTAAAGAGAAACCTGATTTTACTTCTCTCAAGACAGATATGCTTTTTCTCAGGAAGTCAACGGTATTTTCAACATTATGTCAACATCATAAGGCAAAAAAACTTCCTAACTTTTTTTTACCCAGTTTTCACATGTATAAGTCACTGATTTTGACTCATAAGCACTCAATGAACAATAGACCTGAAACTTGCCCCATTCCTTTCCTCACAATTTGCCCATGTTCAGGCCTATTTGTTACATTCACTGTGTCAATTCATCTTGTTGATGGTCTTTCTTTCTCTGACTCTCCATCTTTCCAAGACTGATGTTTTTCTTTTCCAAGTACTGGACCCTCCTGACAACCAGACCAAAGAATGTGAGATAATATTTCACCAAGTTTGCAACTAAGGGCAGCTTGTTTGCTTCTTCCCAAAAATTTGCTTGTTCTTTGGGCAGTCCACAGAATATTCTGTACTCTTCTTCAACATCCATCATTCAAATGCTTTGATTGTTCTTTAGTTGACATCATAATTCAAACGTTTTTGCATTTCTTCAGTTATCCTTACTTTCTGTCCAACTTTCAGATGTACATGAAGCAATTAAAACCACCCTGTCTTAGATCTGGCACACTTTAATGTTTAAACTGACATGCGTTCTCTTTAGCATTTTTTTTTCTCTTTAGCATTTTAAAGAGATCCTGCACAGTATTTTCCAAATGCAATCCATCATTCAATTTCTTGACTGTTGCTGAGTGTTGATTGTGAATTCTAGTAATTTTTTTTTACTATTTCAATCAATCCATCTATCATGATGTTGCCTATTAGTAGATCAGTGAGAATTTTTGTCTTTATGTTGAAATGTAATCCATATTGAAGGCTACAGTCTTTGATCTTCAGTAATGTTTCAAGTCTTTTTCACTTTCTGAAAACAGGGTTATGTAATCTGCATAAATTGTTCCCATTCTAAAGAAAGGTGATCCAACCGAGTGTGGAAACTACAGAACAGTGTCATTGATTTCACATGCAA